GTGTGTGTGAACTAAAAATCAAGAATGTGGGATACTGTTTGTCCGTGATTTGAAGAGCCCAACGTGTGTTCCCAACGAAGGGAAAAACCAATTCTGCAGGGGAGACCTACCTCGGCACTTGTGCAGGTGAAGCCAAAGGGAAGATATGCTTCACCATATGAAGTTGGTTTGGAAACATATTCAGCTATACTTCATCTCCTGCTTTGCGTTTGTGTAGGTGCCCCGTGCTAGCAGTGTCCAACCGTTTGTTTTTTTTTTCCTTTTCAGAGCAACAGCTCTGTGCCCCCCTACGGGGAGGGCCCCACACTTTGGGAAGCTCTGTTTAAGACTGTCAAAGAATTACCTGCTAGGTCTGAAAGTTTAAGTCATGACTGATGTCCACTCTTCAGTGTTAGTTAATGTAAAGTGTTAATTGTCATCATAACTGTTATTTTAACAGACTCATTACTTACAGACCACATTCAAACATTCAGACACTATATTCAGCCCACTGAATTGTGTTAAATAAATGATTGTATTGTAAATGTTAAAAAAAATCCAAATATGAACTATGAATATATTATGTTTGAATATAATAACCTTTTTATGTTGACTGTTAGGACTGTTGTTTTTATGTAGTACATTTAAACAACAGAAGTTGACCCAAAGCACTTTAGAGATGGGCACATTTACATTCCAGGTCTGCAAAAAGCCATTTTCAAAATACATGAAGAGCTGAAAGGTGTGTTTTATCATATCAACTCATTATTGTGGAAAGTCAAACTTACACTGATTTAGATGCTTTTAAAATGTGTTCCGATTTACCAAATTGATGATGATTCATCTCATAAACCATGACTCACTGCTCTCCCCTTCATATGCTAACTTTATAAGTTCAAAGTATCAGCATTGAAGCACAGCGAGTGGAGACAACATTAAAAGGGAAATGAGCCAGATTTAAATAAACTACTTTTGTTTTTCTTTTTAATAAGGGAAATGGCAAAACTTTATTGTCACATCCTCAGTAACAACACAACTTTATCACATTAAATTCTTTAGTCCCTATGTACCATATTTTTCAGACCATAAGGCGCACAGGATTACAAGGCGCACTATCAATAAACGGGTCTGTTTTCATGCATGAGGTGCACCAGATTATAAGGCGCATTAAGCGAAATCAAACAGATAAGTCAAACTTTACTCAACTCATTCTTCTTGCATTCTCCACTTCCGTACCATTGATTGAGTAATGCTGAATTCTCTCGCAGCTGCTCTGTTTCCGTGTTGTTGCAGTATATTAATGACTAACCTCGTATTGTGGATGGATTATCT